AACAACATGGATGGACCTTGAGAGAATAATATTAAGTGAAACGAGTCAGGCAGAGAAAAAGAAATATCACATGTTCTCACTTATTGGAGGGAGCTAAAAATAAATAAATTAATTCACTCACATACATACATACATACACACACACACACACACACACACACACACAAACGGGGGGGTAGGAAGATAAAACAACTACAATTTTTTTTTTTTTGAAGTTCCTACAACAAGCAAATGGAAAGGACATGCTTGGCGGGGTGGGGGGAGAGGGAGGAGGGAGGGAGGTTTCGGTGATGGGACATAATAATCAACTACATTGTATATTGACAAAATAAAAAAATAAAAATAAAAATAAAAAGAGGTGATAGATTAATGTGATTAGAGCAGGTCAGTTATCATGAGAGTGGCTTTGTTATAAAAGCGAGTTTGTCCTCTCTCTCTCTCTCTCTCTCTCTCTCTCTCTCTCTCTCGTCTCATGCTCTCCTGCCTTTCTGCTTCCCACCACGGGATGATGCAGCAAGAAGGCCCTCATCAGATGCGGTTCCCGCGACCCAGTCTCAGGTGTTCTGTTACAGCAGCCCCAGATATACTAAGATGGAACAATGCTGTGATTCTTTACAATGCCACAGCTCTTCAGAACCTGTTTATTTTGACCCATGTAGCACTTCTCACCCCTCTAATTCCTAATGCCATTTATTTAATGCCAATTACATTATTACTCATGATGCTCCATCATCCTTCAGTGATTCAAAGTTGTGACTTTTAGTTGATGATGACACAAATGGCAAGCTTGCCTGGAGTATGCAGCAAAATGTGAATAAAGATTCACTGTTCAGAATTTTATAGTGTAAGCGTACAACAATACGTCATTCAATCGTGTCTTCTCTTGAATTTTTTAGGCCTTAATCACTGTATTTCTAGAATGTGATCCTTTCCCATTCTAGGTTGATTGCACTCCTGCCTTCCACACGCTAAAACCAGTTGCTGGGAAAGGGGTGGATAGGCTAGGTGCCCATGGGTGGAGCAAGAAGAGAAGTCTCATTCATGCACGGAACACCTGGCCCTCACCTGGCACAGCATAAGACCTACACAGTAGCTCATGAGGTCACTACAATGATCAGAGGTGAGAGAGGACATTGCTTGTAAAAGCCAGTTGGTATTACAGAGTATTGATCTCAAATGGAGAAGATAGGCATGGCCACCTCTGGAGGACTGACATATGACACATAGTTCAAAGCCTGTGGAGGGGGTGGAGTGACTACCCTCTACCAGCTGGAGGTGGGGGACCCCATATAGGAAAAGGTTGCTGCCACTCTAACTATTCTGTCATACTGTAGACCAGAGGCAGCACTGTGGTCATAAAATGGGCTGGTGAGAGTCATGGCATTGACCCACACAAGTGGCTCAGCCCCAGAGGTTGGTGATGGACTGTCAGTAGCCCAGAGTCCTGAACTCCTGCATCCAACATGAAAGGGAATCACCCCAAATCAATAAGTCAGTACCATTCTAGTGACCCAATATCATTCAGTGCCACAAAAGAAATATGGTGCTGGCCAGCAGAAGCAATCTGCTTGTCAGGTTGCACAGGGCAATGCTGGGCAACCCAATCGATGGAGTGGTGGTTCAGAGAGTACCCTGAAGAGAAACAGACTGAGATAATTCCAGCCACTGAAGGTCACCTGGAAAATTTCAAGAATAGCACTCCAAAGTATGGAGGCCCCTGAGGACTTGGCCTGGGACCTGGGCCAGGGACCCTGTTTATCTGGTTCTTAGGGAAAATTATGTGGTAGAATAACAATGGTTATTCTTTGCTATTGCTGTCATTGAGAGGT